TGGGATTAGTTCAGCGTCCATTTAAAATGGGTCCCCTATGCAACCTGTCCACAACGTCACGTGTGAAAATCAAACGGCACGGCAAAATATGCAGATCTGCACACATGCAGAAAATGAAAGGGTTTTCCTCTTAACTGCTTGCTCTGTTGTCTGCTAGTGAGCCAGCTGAGCCATTACTGAAAGCAACAAATTACATTTTGTAAATTCAGCAAGTGTTAATCCCAGATTTTATTTTTTTTCCATGGGACAGCCATGGTGTGTGAGAGTGATTCTGACCACGTCCGTTTTGTTGCCAGGTTTCTTCCCGAACAGCTTCAAGGGCTGTGAAGCGTTCCTCCGTCACAAGATGACCCTCATCTCACCCTCCATACTGAAGAAGTACGGGATCCCCTTCGACAAGGTACAGCACCGTAGAGCCTTTGCTTTGTGAATGCGTGGTCCCCTACCTCCCACAAGTGCATTGCATTTTTCTCTCAGACTCAAATAACAAAATTCAGCAACTGTTACCTTTTTTCTCCGCTGCTTGCAAATTTGCTTATGTTTTCAGTGGCTGCCAAATTCACAACGTTGTGCAAACGCCGCAGTACAACAGCAAAACTTGGCCTGCTTCCGGTATTCAGAGCTAAGCACAAAGCGCACTGCGTATAGACTGAACCTGGCCCTCGTCCTCTGCAGCAGGTCTGTGGAGAAGCGGCTTGCCGCAGCAGCCTGTGCTGGGAGAGGCAGGGTTTCCTCTGCTCCCGCCTTTGTTTCATATTTTGAGGAACAATGCGGAACCCCTGATGGAGGGCGGTCTGTATTGTGGAGAGGGGGACACAGTCGCGCCCCTCGCCCGCGCGCCTCCTTGCCCCTGGCTCTCTGGAGGGGCGGCCCCCGCTTTCGAGCAGCTGGCGCCTTCCTCCCGCGATGAGCCCCCGGCCGCACCTGCCACCCACAGCTGTCTGTCACCCGACTGAGTGGCCGACTGGCGTGCAATTAGATGCGGCCTCGTGTCGTCCCGGTAACGAATTTCATAAGCCATTGATCAAAGTCAGAATCGCGCTCAAGCCCAAAATTACCCAATTAACTTTTCTTTTTCTGTTTCCCTTTTCCTTTTTTTTTTTTTTAACCAAGGTGCATCTCTGTTCAATCCCGCAAGGTTGTGGCTGTTTAATTCAAAGCATGGATGTACAAGGCAGTACTACGTGTGTTCAGAATGCTTTTATTCACAGTCAGGGGTGACTGTTTTATTACTGAACTTTATCCATCGGGTATAAAAGGGAGCTTTGGAAGAGGAAATGAATGTGAGGAAAGCCTCTGTCAGTGAGATCAGTTTCTCATGCAGTTAATGCTCACCCTGCCAAAGCCTGAAAACATGCAGCCAGACTCTGAACACTCAACATTTAGGCCATTTGTACATGTCAGACGTGTCTGTGAGTGTACCTCATTCCTTGTTTCTCGTTAACTTGTACACCAGTGTTTTCCCCCAGTTTATTTGTGGGCTTTATGCTGAGTTTGCATTCACAGTGAGTCTGACTTTTGCCAGTCTTTGTCGTGGTACTGGTCACATTTATTGATCAATCCCAGGCTTGTCATGGGGGCTTATGATTGAGAGAGGGCACACACTGAGCGATTTCTGTTCTTGCACTGCACCCGTGTGATTTTTTTAGTTAGGTGTAAATAGCCTCCTCTCGCCATCTCACAGACATCAACAAATGATAATGGAAACTTTCGAAACAAGGTTCACAAAAAGTGATTTAGCATAGATTTCAAAATTATGTATACTGTTCTAATATTGTGGTGACAATTACTCCTGCAATGTAGAAGGAAAAAGGCTTTATGGAAAAAATGAAAATAATATCTTATAGCAGATATGAATGCTTAGTGCCCAATTGAAGTTGTGACACTGTATAAAACACTGGTTTCCTCCATGGTAAAAGACAAAAACCAGGGACTGGACCTTACTTTTAATGCTAAGTTAGTATCACCAACACCAAAAGGTAAACCAAACTCATTACATGTTCTTATGCAATATGTAACATGAGCTCTCACTCCAATCCTCACATACACATACACACATGCATTGCAGAAATGGTGGTATATGCAGTAATTTGCAGATGTTTTATCTTTAGCTCAATAGGAAACACACTTAATCACAGACATTAATTGGATGTAAAGCGAAAGACCTTGACACATCCATATACACGATCGACTGGCCTGTAACTTGTAGGCTATTAACTGCTAGCTGGATGCTAATTGACTGTTAACACATGCTATGTGTCTCTGGTAGCTGAAGGCCTAGAGTGGTTCTCTCCAGGGCTAGTCTTTCTTTGCAGGGACATGGTGTGACTCAGCGAGCAATTGACTACCGGGCATGCTCAATGCATCATATTGTAGCACCTCTCTCACTTCTGAGTTCTGTCTGAATTTGTTCCTATGGCTCAGTTGGCGTCGCATGGCACTAGTGATGCCAAGGTTGTGGGTTTGATTCCCAGGGAACACACATAATAATGAAATGTATACCTCCTACTGTAAGTCGTTTTGGATAAAAGTGTCTGCTAAATGAATAACTGTAACTGTGACTGAATGTATGAAATTCTTAGCAGTGTATCATTGCCCCTCTCATACTGACCGGCCCCAGTTGTCCTGATCTAGGACTGTGAAGTCCAGATTTTGTCCAGATTTCGACAATAAGTTGTGTAATCACAAATCATACGACGAGGTCCAATCATGGTGAAGTCCTGTAGTGCAGGATCCTACAGCGTGGCATCCTATAGTTCGTTCTTACAGCAAGCGGCACAGAGCCGAGCCGACCAAAGACCTCGCATCCATCACCGTCAGCGCAGCCGTTCGGCCTCCACCACACGCCGCGCCGCTCTTACGGAACACCAGAGCCGCCCACGGGAGAGCGGCCCTCCGACCGGCGCGGTAATCTGAGTTTGGGCGCGTCGCGGTCCCCGCTCCCTCGCCTGCTGAGACAGAACAGCGGCGGATTCCTCTGTCCCCAGTGTTCACAGGCCCCAGGGCAGGCAGAGCACACAGGAAAACACACCTCAGAGTGGCCCCCAGGGCTGCATGCTGGCAAACTGGTGGAGATTTACAGTATAGTCGTCATTTATCACGTAATGTGTAGCTAATGTGAAGTCGATATTAAGTTGAAGCTCTCAGGAAAAGAGTCAAAGACATTCAGAATGAGCCCGTGGGGAAAATATAAAGTTTTATATACCAGGCTCACGACAAGTTGCTGACTCTTGTAAGTGCTTGCTACGTTCAAAAACTCTGGATTGTGATGCATCGCAATTGTGATAAATTGTGATGAAATCAGATTGACAGATACTAAGTTTATCTAATGGTAAAACAGGAAAAAAAAAGTCTTGAAATGATAGTATTCGTTGCATGGAATTTTAACTGATAAAGGCTCAGCAATTCATATGGCTATGGATTACTCACTGAATATGATTGTTGATGCCTTGCAACCAAATAAATTTTACACTGACCTTTTTTGACTAATTTTGTTTCTCATTTCTGACGGCTTAAGAAGAAATTTCAGTTTTATGCAGCTACTGAATAAATAGTTAAACAGTATGATGGATGAATATTCTGAACCCTCTCTTGTCTTTGACTGAGTGAAGACCAGTCTCTGGCTGGAAATGTGCACCAAAATACAATGCACTATATTGTACTGTGCTCTACAGCGTGCGCTACCTGTAGAGTGGGTCCCATCCTGCTGGTCTGTGTGGACCGTGACACCCTGAGCGAGGTTACTGTGGCGAATAAAGTGTGCGTGAAAGAGGAGGCGGAGTGGAACTCAGCCACACCCAGGCCTGAGGAGTGTGCCTGTTACGGAAGAGTGGCACAGGTGAATCGCGCTCCTGGCTGAACATGAGAGGGAGTAGCATTTCGGTTCCCTCAGTGTTCTCCTCAAATGCCACTCACGACTGTTCACCCAGTAGGACTGTATAGCTTTGCTGAAGCTGGAATATTGTTAGGGCGTTTTGTTGAAAAACATTATTTTCTAAACTTGTTTCTGAATTGTTGGCAGGTTAATTAGGTAATTAGTACAACTAACTACATGTCATCCCCCAATGAAGTAGGATCATTGTAGTCTCAACTGTTCTTTTGTCAGTTTTGTTTTCACACAACAGTTATTCAAGGACTACAGAATAGCATGCAGTCCCGGAAGAACATAAACAAAAAAAGTAACAATGACTAATTACTGGTTTGGAAGCGGTGGATTATTGAGGTTTAAATATAGAAGAGCTGAAAGTCAGAAACGTTCTTTTCTCTTGGACACTGTTTTCTCTCTGACACAAAATGTCAACGTTGCACTAGTCACACTATTTACATTGGGCGCGTTGCATTTCTCCTGAGATTTAAAGGATGATTCCAAAGAAAACCCACAATTTACATTTAAAGCCGTTTCCTTGTTGTTTTTTCACAAGGCATAAACTATAATATTACACCAGAGTTCTGGGTAATTATGGCCTATGGTCAATTCGCCAACATTTTATCGCACAAAGCAGGCCTGTGAGCACTCTCTTCAGTCTCCCAACGGTGTCTAACGAAGCATTCAAACTGGATATTGTTAATAGGTCTTTTTAATTCAAACTGGACATTATATCAAATATTAAAGACAAGAGGGAGATTTTATTTGGACCACCCTGTTGTGAAATGTATCCTACCCCACACCATTAGATTTCCAGAGGTGAGTTCGGTTAAGTACCTTGCTCAAGGGCATAACAGCAGGATTCAAACTTGCAGTCTCCTGGTTGTAAGTCATATTCTCTGGCTGCTGACCCAAATCGGACGTAGGTCAGGATGTTTTTAGCATTTTATTCTTATTGTTCTTTGCCACGGGGTAGCCTCAACAAAAAGTCGTTTGTAATTCATAGTCAGTTTTTCAATTTTAAAAAAAGCAGTGGTGCCTGGTGTCGAGCGTGGAAACTACTCTCCCACAAAAACTTCCCAGAAGGAAGAAAAGGTAATTGAATTAGAAAAATTAGAATGAGCCTTTCCCTTCCGAGCCAGTGGCCCTGTGGCGAGAGGATCTGCCCTGACCCCGGAAGGTTGTGGGTTCAAACCCCATCTGCGTCATACCGGACTTAAAAAACGACAGCCACATTCTCCCTCTTTGGCGCTCAGTATTAAACGACAGGGATTGTGGGTAACGGCCCTGTGTCTGACTGTTCTCTCCAGGGGGTGTGGTCGTACAGTGAGCTGCTTTATACCACAGAATAATCTCTGACCCTGTGAGCCACAAAGACTTGGACATGGCTTTGTCCTCTTACTGACTTTTAGAACCAGGGTAGAGATCTGATTGAAAATGGCTGGTGCTGCTCAGATAGGTGTTTAAAATATACAGAAATGCTGCGTTTTAATTGGCATAATCAGCTCAGGGTCTGAATTACAATGTGCCTGATGGAAAAAAGAAAAAACAACAAAAAAGGATTCATATTTCATGCTAAATTTACTTGACTGAAAAAGAGACGGAACACATCAATTGCTTAAATTGCGCTGATTACCAGCTAATTCATGCAGAGGCATTTCAAACAGTCATAACAAAAATGAAATTATCTTAAAAGTTCTCAGTAGCAAATTAAAACTGAAGTTCTACTTCTTCCTGTAGTCAGACTTAGTTCCTGAATATGCCCATTTTATCGCTCTCTGGGCTGTCACCTTTGACCTCACACGTGACCCTTTTTTTTTCGGTTTTGTTGCAGATCACGCAGGAGGCGGGCGAGTTCATGATCACCTTTCCCTACGGGTACCACGCCGGGTTCAACCACGGCTTCAACTGCGCCGAGTCCACCAACTTTGCTAGCGTGAGGTGGATCGACTACGGGAAAGTGGCCACCCAGGTAAGAGACTCAGAGGACAGTGGTTATGAATACATACAATATTATACTGCTCCATATAGCATTATGCTTTTGCATGGGGTTGCTGAAAGATATAGTATCAAACTCTTCCTGTCGGTAACTGATACATACAGTATCACACTGTTTCCAGTACTGACACATACATGTTGTTGCCGGTGGTTACTGATACATACATAATCACATTGTTGCTAGTCGTTACTCACACACAGAGTACCACACTGTTGCTAATGGTTATTGATACATCTCAGTATTACACTGTTGCCAGTCTGCCAGCTTAATGATTTCACAGCCCTGCTGCCTTTCCCGTGGGTAGATCATGTTGGACCCAGTGCTGGTGATGAAACATGCAGATGTTCTAATTAAGGAGATTCTGAGTCTCTTTTCTCTACCTGTGTAGAGGCCCTGTCACACAAGGACAGACTTTACCGGAGGTACTGAGATGATGTAAGTGAGTAGTCCTGGGCTGTGCTTGTGTGTCCTCAAGGGCACCTGAAAACGGCTTAGTTACAGAGATTTGGGCAGGTTTTATGGCTCCTGATTGGATAACCTTGGATACCACTTCACCTCACCTTGTGGTCAAAGGGCAAAAAGCACAGCTCTAATGTGACTTGGTTGTGTTGCCTGGAACTCACACTGCAGCAGTGCTTGTATAATGGCCTTAGTCCTCATATCTTCCATCTCACAGAACACTGAAGCACACCAGGCACAGTTCTGATTGATGTCAAGGTAAAGAATAAACCAGGTTACAGATCGATTCTTTGTTTTGTTATTATTTTTGCTTCTGAGCACTTGATCTCATCTTGGAGATGTTCTTATTTATTGAGATGTTTCACCGTGTGTGTGTTTGTGTGTGCGTGTGTGTGCGCGCACGCACATGTGTATGTGTGTGTTAAACTAGATCAAAGTATTGATTAAACGAGAAAAAAGGAGAGATGAGTAAATCGAGTGAGAGAAAGATGAAAAGTCTCTCTGACAAAAGGCATTGAGTCGATCTCAATCCCAGGATGGGCCGCTGAATGGCATCTGTCTGCGACCAAACATTTCCCTACCCCGTGCTTCTGATTTCCAATGCTGGTGGCGGCTGCGGCAGAAACTACAGGAGGCGTCTGCCGTGCTTTTCTATGTTTCCCCTTTGGTTCACAGACTCCCCCCCCAGATGCAGCTGTTAGCTCTCTGTTTGCACTATTATTCCCAGGCTTGTTTTGTCAGTGATTCAGCAAACCCACCTCTCTTGGAAGGATGTGGCGGTTTTTGTTTAAGTGCCAGAAAAAACGTGGCTCGCGGAGAACAAGTTTAGCATATCCGCGCCGCTTACAAAATCCAAGAGTTGCCAAGAGTTGGCGGCTCTTTAAAGGGGGAAAAAAATTTTTTTAAGTAAAATTTAAAGAGAAAAAAAAAGAAAATTTCAAGTCGCTTTTGTTGAATAACCCCCACATGGCGATATACTCACTGCTCACTATGCAGATTTTTCATATTGATAGAATTTGACGCTGGGCACTACATCAAAACACCATTTCTGTCTGAAGAGCAGAGCGCCGCAGTTGAGATTTAGGTGCTTCGCTCATTAAAATGAAGGTTTCTGACATTATTTATTAGAATTTAACGTGTGACGCATCACCCGGGGGGCCTCCGCAGTTTGTTACACCGATGTGGTGAATTATGGCTCGTTAAACGAAACCCTTTTAATAGCACGCTTGATCCAACATGACCTCGGTCTGGGGCACGGAGGGTGATCCTAGGCTTAATGCAGTGGCAGGGACACCCCAGCCGCTTCGCTACCTCAGCTAGGGAGGGGGAAAAGAAGTCACCGTAATGGAAAAACTCATCTAAAAATGATTGCCAAACTAACCGCCGCTCTGTCACCGCATTTTACATCGTCAGCGAAAACGCGCCCGCGCTACTTACGATCCAATGAACTCCGATGAAATTTATGTCCATTGATGTCTGCACTCCCCTTCCCCGAAATGCACTTTGAAATCAACCCAAGACTTAAATTTCTTTAAAGCCATTATGGACGCGGTGCACTACGGAGGAATAAATAATCAGCTGCTGGCTGGCATTTATAATTTTCGGCCCTGATTATAAAATCTTGGCTTCCCCTCTGCGTCTTGGTGCATTAAAATGATGACTGGTGGGCTAGGAGCTCCATCCAGCCCATTCATCAGCTGTCTTAAGGAGCTGAAATGAACAGGAGACCTGCTGCAGGCCACCAAGATGGATGGTATTATGCAAGGGGCACGGTGTGTTTTTTGTCCAAGGGGCTGAATGACCAAGGTGTGTGTGTGCGTGTGTGCCTGTATGTGTGTGTGTGTGTGGCAGTCAGCGGAGGCTGGAACACAAGGAGCCAGAAGCCATAAGACATGCATAGCAATTAATCAGAGCACCTTATTTTGAATTGGTTTCAATTCGTTGAATTAGTTGTGAGTTTGTGCCTTGATGTAATAATGGTGCAATCCATATCTTTTAATATATAAATCTTTCCATCACGCTGGGGTATTGACTGTAAAAGTGGTACTTGTAAGCATCATAAATCAGTTGCATTGCCAGCTTTTCCTTGGTGCACATGAAGTTAAATCTGCTCTCCTCTTACAAACGAAAATACGTAAATGTACCACGCATGCTTCGCATAATATGCTTCTTGACCAGCATCCTTCTGTACCGTTATTACATCATGGCCCAATTCCCACATGAATTTAAGTGTATGAAACATGTAAAAGCATGAGAGTAATGTTCAGTGTGTGGGCAGCGGTGTAGCATGGTTGCTGGTTCAATTCACTGCTAGGCCATTGCTGTTATACCCTTGGGCAAGGTACATAACCCAGAATTGTCTCAGTAAATATCCAGCTGCATAAATGGGTAACATGTAACAAAACTGAAACCTGTGTAAGTCGCTCTGGATAAGAGCATCTGCTAAATCCTAATAATGTAACGTAATGTGTGGTTTTCTGGAAACAGCTTCATTTTGGGGAGCGTAAGGAGTTTTGATTCGTTCTGCCCTGTTGGCGGGGAGAAGGCGAAAGGAAGAACTTACGGGGTCCTGTCCCGGCTGAGGCCTGCAGATGGGCGCAGGGGCAGCGGGGTGAGGTGCCGGGGCGATCATGGCAGGCTGGCGGGACTGTCGTGATTCATTATGTCTCTCATCGCCCATACCCCCCGTGCAGTGCCCCGCACTAAATCTCGTCCTCCGAATCGATGAGGCGAATCCAGTAAAAGAATATGATTTCCTGGTCGAGGGTGTTATTGTTTCCTATCCGGATCCCCCCCAAGGGCCGAGAGAACGGTCTGAAGAAATGAACGAATAAATCTTTCTTTCTTCCTTTTTTTTTGGGTGGGGGAGAGGGGGTGTTGAACTTTCTCGCACTGGTTGCGACATTTAAACATATATTGCTGGTCAACTATTTGAGAGAGAGAAGAAAAAAAAGGTCCCATATTTTCCTGGTTTTCTGACAATTTGACCCGCAAAGCAGACAGGGACACGTATTCCAGGGCACAGAGACCACGCAGAATGAAGCCAGAGGGATTCTGCATGGGTTGAATTGCTCTTTAATCCTCTTACTGCAAGCCTTATCTGTGTATGATGATGATCTAAGTGACAGGAGTAGTTCTTAGTATGGCCAATCCTCTCTTAAGCCGTGACTCAGCTTTGACTCTGTTTCATATTGTTTGCTGTCAGTTATCCTGTGTGTGAGGTCAGGGTCATGCGGAGTGCGGCCATAGGACAAGCAAACGCAGTGTGTTCTTTTGGAGACGTTATGACAGAGGCATTGGAAGCGTGTGAATCTGTTGTACTGTTCTGAGACAGTTTCAATAACCTTTCATGTCAAAGGCAAGGCACTGCACACACAACAGGGTAGAACCTTTTGTATTGTACAGTAAAGTACAGTTAAGAATACAGGGACTGATATTTAATGAAATCTTCAGGATGATCTCATACTAATCGCTCCTCTTCAACCGTACGTTTAAATTGCTTTTGTTAATGACGAAGTGCCTCCCAATAAAGAGTGGCAGAACGGCAATTCATAACGCGGGCCAGGAAAGCAACACAAGCCATCACTTCAGCTGACGGCGCCGAGAGCGAATTTCACGGTGCCGCCTTGAACCTGTTCTCAGCATGTTTCCAATTGATTGTGGTGCTGATGCGAGTTTGGAGGAAGCCCATTTGACCTTACCAGAGCTGCCTCATTCTACTGTGTCCTTAAACTCGGTGTGTTATTTTAT